AGATAGTCTTATTGAGGACCACACAGGCATGAGGGTGTGGTATCAAACTGCAGGTTTAAACAGTTTGAAGCACTGCAAACATGCATTTCACAGCTAGATTGTATAAGGATTTTGGCTGTGATGAAACTGTTATTTTGTTTTTTTCTGTAGTAAAGTTTATAAAAATCACCTTTCCATTCAATAGGTACTGGTTAAAAAAGCATTATCATAGGTGTTAATGGGCAAATGTGTTCATTCATTATATTTGGGCCCTTGATGTTACACTCTTGCTATCAAATTAAACTTGCCTTGAAAANCCATCAACTTGTTTTTCCCAAATATGAAAGTGGAGCCGGCACAGCTCAAAACCAACTGGAATGAGCCCCAAATGAACTGAGTGCCTGGTAGGTAAACGAGTCACACTCCCCAGTCACGACTTCCCTGACAGTCCCACTGCTAGTAAGCTGTGGTGGGACAGCCAGCTGCTGTTTCCACAGCAAGACTCAGACTTTTTGAGCACAGCCCCCCCACTCCACCCCCCCACCCCCCCGTTAAAAAAACCACATTCTTATACCGTCCAGCTTGCAATGATTAATGTAAAACTTACCAGATGAAACTTGTGGTTCAGCCTTTTTGTCATTCCGGTCCCCTTGCTTAAAAATTCTCTCTACCACATGGAGATACTTGAAAATGTTTATGTTTGAAGAAAATAGAGAAACAGAAATCTTAGTCTGTGTCACACTGTGTCTTCGGGCAGTTTGGAGGAATGAAAATCTAGAGATTTTAGATCGTGAATTGAACTTGTAAAGCTGTAGTAAAATGCAAAAATGGAATATGCATTGCTCTTACTCTTGAACATAATGACGTAGAGACTGTATATCACTTCTGGGAGTACGACTGCGAACTTGATCATTGTTGAACTACTGAGACAAAACTCAAATGCGGTGAATTTTGCCTCTAAAGGGTTTATTTGGTAAGAACCAACTCTTAAAAGTCACTAGAGAATCAAATAATAGATGTCAATACACATAGTTTATGTGTTTAACCATTTAGTTTGGGGCTCTATATTACTTGATAGAGTCTTGCATCAATGTGCTTTTAATCAAAGGTTTGTTCTTTGAGTGGCTGCACAAACTGTAGATAGTCTTATTGAGGACCACACAGGCTTGAGGTTGTGGTATCAAACTGCAGGTTTAAACAGTTCGAAGCACTGCAAACATTCATTTCACAGCTAGATTGTATAAGGATTTTGGCTGTGATGAGACTGTTATTTTGTTTTTTTCAGTAGTAAACTTTATAAAAATCACCTTTCCATTCAATAGGTATTGGTTAAAAGAGCATTATCATAGGTGTTAATGGGCAAATGTGTTCCTTCATTATATTTGGGCCCTTGATGTTACACTCTTGCTATCAAATTAAACTTGCCTTGAAAAAAAATGAATAAGGCAGTTCCTATACATATTAATGTGGAATGGTTGCCAAGAAGTCTTCAAAAAATTCA